TTGCCCCTCTCCCGCAGGCCTCCCCCCCGGCACGTTCCTTCCAGCTGGATTACGAGGAGAACTGCTTCCTCAAGGATGGTGTCCCTTTCCGCTACATCTCGGGCAGCATCCACTATGCCCGTGTCCCGCGCCCCGCCTGGAGGGACCGGCTCCTCAAGATGTACATGAGTGGGCTCAGCGCCGTGCAGGTGTAAGTGACACAGGGACAGCCCTGGGAGCACAGCCCACTGTGCTGGGGTCCCTCAGGATCTCTGGGATCCAAGGAATGGGGACAGAGGCAGGGGTGTTGTCTGATCACAGGGACTGGGGACCAGCCCTGAGCCTGGGCTAGTCCCAGTCCAGCCCCCATTGTCATCCATCGTGCCAGGGTGTCCTTACCTCTGGCATGCTGATCTCCTCTATCACCACAGCTACATCCCCTGGAACTACCATGAGCCACTACCAGGGGTTTATGACTTTGCTGAGGAGCGGGACGTGGAAGCTTTTCTGGACCTGACAGCTGAGCTGGGGCTTCTGGTGATTCTGCGGCCAGGGCCCTATATCTGTGCAGAGTGGGAGATGGTGAGACCCAGACGTGGGACAGGGGAGTCATGGGTGGCCCAGGAGGGGTACAGCAGGGTTGGCCCTTCTGGCTGGCATGCTGACCCCAGTGCCATGCTAGCTGTGCCCAGGCTGCCACTCTGTGGGGCACATGCTGAGCCATCAGCATTGCCCTGGCCTGGCCTTGGCTGTGTGCCTGGGCTCTGCTGAGTGGTTTCTCTGCCTCTCTCTTGGTTGTGGGTGTTCTTCCAGGGAGGCCTGCCTGCCTGGCTCCTGTGGAAACCAGACATCATCCTGCGCTCCTCTGACCCTGGTGAGCCTTCGCACAGGGTTCTGGCCACTGTGTTGTTACAGCCTCATGCCAGTCCCAGCAGGCTGGTCTCCCTCCTCACACCTGCCAGCTCTGCTGCACAGTCTCTCCCAACCTTTTCATCTTTTAGGAGTACTGTAGTTGGTTCTCCACCTCTGCTTCCCCGTTGTGCTCAGCTCTGCACCGTCCTCCTCCTGGCAGGACTGGCTGTGGGTGGACTGGGGTGGATACTGTGGCCAGGCTGATCTCCCCTCTCTCTTCCCAGCCTACCTGGCAGCTGTGGACTCCTGGCTCTATGTCCTGCTGCCCAAGATCAAGCCACGCCTGTACCAGCATGGGGGGAACATCATCAGTGTGCAGGTAGGGTGTAGTGGGACCTGATCCCCTGCCCTGCTCTGGGTCATCTTTCATTGTGTCCCAAAAAGCCACCTGTACCTCCCACACCATGCCCTCATCTGGCACAGCTCTTCAATAAATCCTTCCCAACCATTGGACCTGTGTTTAAATCCACGGGCTGGAGCTCTGGGGTACCTGCCAGCTCCCTGTTTGTGGTTTGAGGGACACAGGCAGAGCTTGTGGTCATAGTGGGGCTGGAAGGTCAGTCTTGGGACACACCCGTGGGCTATCACAACATCTAAAGATGTCATGGAAGGAAGGGGAGCACTGGATGCTCATCACAGTGTGAGGTGGGACCTGGCTGCAGCCCTGCTGGGTGCATGCTGGGTGCTGGCCTCTGCCCTGCTCGCAGGTGGAGAACGAATATGGGAGCTACTATGCCTGTGATTATGGGTACCTGAGGCACCTTCTGAGCTCCTTCCGGGCGCTGCTGGGGAACGAGGTGCTGCTCTTCACCACCGATGCCGCGCGGGCCGAGGAGCTGCGCTGCGGGACGCTGCAGGGGCTCTATGCCACCGTTGACTTTGGGCCAGGTAACCCTGTGCGGGAGGAGGAGAGGGGATCGGGGATCCCAGCTCTGTCCTGCTCCAACCTCTCTCCTGCCATCTCCACAGGCTTCAATGTGACAGAGGCATTTGGTGCCCAGCGCCGAGTTGAGCCGAAGGGTCCCCTGGTGAGCTTGGTGTGGGCACCCCTGGGGGGAATGACCCGTGATGGCTTTGGAGAGGCAGAGGGAGTGGGGAAAGCAAAGAGAGGTGCCATGGGCAGGCTGTACATAAGCAGGGGGGATGTTCCTGGCAGAGGGGTGCCAGGAGTCCCAGCTTTGTGCAGGTGACAATTCCTTTATCCTGCAGGTGAACTCAGAGTACTACACAGGCTGGCTGGACTACTGGGGGGAGGTACATGCCAACACCAGCTCGGTGCAGGTGGCACGGGGGCTAGAGGACATGCTGCAGCTGGGAGCCAGTGTCAACATGCAAGTAGTCAGCTGGCAGGAGGCACAGCCTGGGGGGCGAGGCCCTCCCCTCTGCCAGCACTGGGGTGGCCATTGCTGCTCACTTTCATCCCACAGGGGCTGAGCAAGGGGGGGGAAGGCTGGGCTGGGACCATGGGCACAGCAAAAAGAGGCAGCAGATTGAGAACCTGCTGGGTCAGTGGAGGTGCTGACCGGGCTCTCTGGCATGTCCCATAGGTACATGTTCCATGGGGGGACGAACTTTGCCTACTGGAGTGGTGAGTAGGGCCCTGCCCTGGGAAGGGTGGGACACACTGCAATTTGGGGGCTTTCCTTGGCAGGATCCTGATTCAGGCTTTTGTTCTGTCCATGGGGTAGGCTGACACACACCCAAGGGTTCCTGAACACAAACTTGTCCCCTCCTGAGGATTCCTTTTGTCCCCATTATGGTTCATGACCCCCCACGTTAGAGGCTGGGAGTGGGTTCCATACCATGGGCTCTGCCAGATCCCCTTCCTCCAGCTCCCATTGCTTCCCTGGCCAGGTGCTGACTTCAAGGATCAGTACAAACCAGTGACCACCAGCTATGACTATGATGCCCCCCTCTCAGAGGCTGGAGACCCCACTGAGAAGCTGTTTGCCATTCGCACGGTCATTAGCAAGGTGCTGAGCCTGGGAAGAGGAGGGGGATGGTACTGGGCACTGCTGCCTGTGCCAGGGAAGAGGGAGACACAGAGGGACCTGGCAGAACAGGGGACATCTCCCTGCTTGCCTTGGGGGCACCTGACAGTTTGCTGTTCAGTTCCAGCCCCTGCCAGTCGGTCCAATGCCACCTGCCACCCCCAAGTATGCCTACGGCCGGGTGGCCCTGCAGAAGGTGAGCGCCTGCCCCAAGGGCTGTGCTGCCCCTGACTGGTGTTGCCCCTGCCCAGCACTGACCCAAGCCTGTCCCTCTCTTTGCAGTATGCCAACCTCCTGGATGTCTTGGGTGTGCTGTGCCCCTCTGGGCCCATCTGGAGCAAGTTCCCTCTTACCTTTGAAGCCATAAAGCAGGTGAAGGGTTGGGTGCAGCAGGGGACAGTGGGAAAGATGCCTCTAGGCTTGGCTGCCTTGCCCTGGCTCTGGGGTGGAGGAGCAGAGCTTGTCTCCAGCTCCAAATCCCTTTCTGTGGCCCTCCACTGTGTCCTGCAGGCCCATGGCTTTGTGCTGTACCGCACACAGCTGCCCTGGGATGTCCTGGACCCAGCCACACTGAGGTCTCCTCCCCACAGCGTCTGTGACCGTGGATACGTGATGCTGCAGCAGGTGAGGCTGCAGGTCCCTGGCCCAGTGCTTGGGAGGGCTGTGGGACCTGCCAGCAGCAGCGTCATCCCATGCCAGGGACCTGGGGACAGCCAGGATGCTGAGAGCCACACTGAGCCCTTGTGGGGTAGCCATCTGGCCTGAATTTTCCCCCTTTCGGGGGCTGGAGGGCAACCCTGGGCTGGGTCTGGGGGGCAGCAGGATGCGGCACTGTCAGGCTGCAGGCAGCATTTGGGGAGGTGGGATCTGGGCATGGGGCCACAGTGTTGACCCTGTGTCTGCAGGAGTACCAGGGGACACTGGAGCGGGATGGGCAGACAACGCTGCGTGTGACAGGCAGGGCAGGGGACACCCTGGATGTGCTCCTGGAGAACATGGGCAGGATCAGCTTCGGGGCCAACAGCAGTGACTTCAAGGTGAGGGGAGAGGGCCCTGAAGGTCTAGAGGGAATGGCCTGGCTACCCATGTGGCCAAAGGCCCCCTCTCCTGCCACCCAAGATGGCATAGCCATCCCCAGATCTGCTCCTTGGTTAATCTCATACCACCCTCTGGCAAACCTGCCACAACTGGGGTAAGGCCGTGAGATCCACACCCCTGTCCCCCAGTTATGCTGCCAGAGCAGTGCAGTCCTTCAGAGAGGATCCCATCTCACCTTCACTGCTGCAAGGGGGACATGCCCCAGGGAAGGCAAGCATCCTGCTGCCTCATTTTCTCTCCTGCTCCATCTCAGGGCTTGCTGGGTAACCTCTCCTTGGACTCCAGCCCTCTCAGCAACTGGCTGATCTACCCCCTGGCCATAGACACTGCCATCAAGCAGGGCTGGCCACACTCTGCCCAGCCAAAATCAAGCAGCAGGAGCACAGTAGGGCCAGCCTTCTACACTGGGACCTTTAAGACTCCTGGCATCACCTGGGACACCTTTGTGAAGTTCCCAGGTTGGATTAAGGTAAGGTAGTGTGTGGTTGGGGAGCGAGGGGAGAGTGGTGAGGGGCACAGCTCAATCCTGTCTCCATCTTCTAGGGCCAGTTGTGGATAAATGGCTTCAACCTGGGTAGGTACTGGCCCAGCCGTGGGCCCCAGCAGACCCTCTTTGTGCCTGGCTCGGTGCTGTGTGTTGACTGCCCCAACAACATCACGGTGCTGGAGCTGGAGGGGGCACCCCACACCCCCTCCCTGCTTTTCCTTGAGCAACCCCTTTTCAACGGGACCCTCAGCCACACCACTGTGGGCACAGAATAAACACAGGGCTGCTGGGCAACAGCCTTGCCTCTCACTGGGGCTATGGAGAGGGCAGGGGGCTGGTGGAAGCACAGGGGCCAGTAGAGGGGCTGGAGGGCCCTAGGAAAGGGGCACATATTCTGGCATGAACATCCAGAGCTTCTCTCCTCCTCTGGGGCCAGATAGGATGTGTGCTAAGGAGGAAGGGGTTCAGAATTATGTTTGTTTTGTATGTTAATCCCAAATAGTTCCAGTGCTTATGCTGACACCCCCCATGCCTAGGGGGTCAAGGCACCTCTTTATTGACATGCAGGCAAGAGGTAGTTGCTAACATACTGCTGCTGACAGCATTCAGGAGAGATAGCAAAGCCTGGCCCAGAGGGTGTCCACAGGCACTGTTGCAGGAGTTCAGGGCTACAGTGGCCAGATCCCCTGGGATCTGCCCCACTGCCATGGGTAGCAGCCTACGAGGTAGCTGTGAGAGAAGCCAGGAGCAAGATCCTCTTGTTAAGAGCTGGGCCACAGAGCAGCCTGGCCCCTCACACTAGTACATAGGGACCTCCTCATTGTAATGTCCCCAGAGTCACCATCCAGAGTGACATTCTTGCCCCAAGCCTTGCCAGAGTTGCCTCCAAGACGAACATGGCCAGCTCAGTCCCCCCGACAAACACTGCTTCACAGGCTCTCCCTTGCTGCACAGCTGTGTCTCCACCACATTGGTCCTTGGCAGGAGGCAGAGTCAGGCCCCAGCCTTACGTGTGGCTAGCCCGGGCCCGGCGGTGGGTTTGCAGGCAGGCCGTGGAGCAGAAGGAGAAATCCAGGTAATGGAAAGGGACCTGGCCCAGCAGGGACTCTCCACAGTGCCAGCAGCGGCTGCAAGAAAGAACAGAGGTGGCCCTGGGCAAAGGGGACACTTGCAAGAGGAGCAGAAGAGCAGAGAGGATTCAATGCCTGTGCTGTGACATGAGACAGCAGCAGGGTGAGGGAGCTGGGGCTCCTCTGGTCCTACAGGGCTCACCCAAAAAACATGCTCCCAGGAGGTGATGCTGCCTGGGGTGAGGAACTTTGAGGCAGGCTGAACACGGGGGTATTTGTCCCCCCAGGGGATTGTAAAGTCCCTGCCCAGATCGGCAGGGGCAGAGCTGGCTGCCCACCAGCCTGACATGAGACAGCAGCAGGGTGAGGGAGCTGGGGCTCCTCTGGTCCTACAGGGCTCACCCAAAAAACATGCTCCCAGGAGGTGATGCTGCCTGGGGTGAGGAACTTTGAGGCAGGCTGAACACGGGGGTATTTGTCCCCCCAGGGGATTGTAAAGTCCCTGCCCAGATCGGCAGGGGCAGAGCTGGCTGCCCACCAGCCTGTGGCCCAGGAGCCTGTGGGATGGCAGAGAGAAAGGCTGTGGGATACAGGATCAGGGGCACTGGAGTGGCTGGGGATAGGCTTGCCATAGATCTGGCTGCAAGTAGACCAAGTTGTTCTTTCCCAAGTATTTCAGGGGCGCAGGGGAAGAGAAAGAGCAAGCTTTTAGACACTGCTGGGAATCAAGTGGACAGGAATAGCTTTCAATTGGAAATGAGAACTGGAGCAAGAAGGACAGGGAACAGCTGTGCTCACATGGGAGAGCTTGTCTGCAGAGAAAGCCATGCTGCCAGGGCTGTTACCTGATGTTGGCAGGAGCTGTGCCCGTGTCCTGCGCAGCCAGCCTCCGCTCGGCAGCCAGGGCCCTCTGGAGAGCAGGGAGACAGCTCAGACCTCCCAGCCCCTGTGCCCAGAGCCCACCCCATCGGCACTGCTCCAGCCAGGCTGGATCCCCTTCCCCATCCACAGCCTCACCTTCTCTCTGTCAGACAGTGCTGCGAACTGCTGCTTCTCTCTCTGCTGCTGCTCCCAGCGCTGCTGCTCCTCCCGCTGCGCCTGCTCCCGCTGCTTCCGCTGGGCTTTCTGTGCCCGCTTCTTCTCCAGCTTCTTGGCCTCCATCTCCTGGGTCAGGGGCCCTGGCACCTGGGGGCAGAGGACAGTCAGCATTTCCCACTGAGCCAGGGGCCACGGCATGAGTGGGCAAGGGGCACTTCACCCTGGGGTCCCCCCGCCCCCAGAAGGCGAGGGCAGAGGGCAGGCACCCACCTGGGCACGGCTGTAGTCGTACTTGTCTGGATGGCCCACCATGAACTTGCGGAAGGCATTGCGGGTCAGTTTGTCAGCAGAGACACAGTAGGGGGTCCTCTCCTGCCTGTCTCTGTAAGACAAGGAGGACCAGCTCACCCTGCCACATTACTGCCCGTGTCACTGGGCTGTGAGCTCAGCAACTCCCCAAAGATGTGCAACAGGTATCACAGGCCAGGGTGCCGCAGCCAAGGAAGGGAAAGTTGCTGATCCCTACACCAGAATCCCCCAAATTCTCTTCTTCTTGTATCTCAAATACCCTGCAAAAGTGTCACATCTCTACCCTCTGAACTGCCTGCCAATCAACATGGGAGCACTTTGGGGCTGTGCTCAGCCAGACCAGGCAGGCAAAGAGAATGGTAGTTCATCTCCTAGGCCTCCCCCACAGTAAAAACCCCAAAATCCCAGCTCGTAGAGACCAACCCCAGCTGTCCCAGGACAAGACTGGCACCAGTCCCCAGTGGCTGAGAAAGGAGTTGCAGGGCTCCCAGAGAGGGACTATGCTTGTCAACTGCTGGGTGCCCTGTGGCTGTACCTGAGGGCGGGGTCCGCTCCTGCCTCCAGCAGCAGGCTCCCAGCCTCAGCCTTCCCTGCCCGTGCTGCCACATGGAGCAGGGTGCAGCCACGCTCATCCACAGGCTCGTTGAGCAGGGAGTGGGGCACGTTCAGGGGCTGTGCGTCCTCCCCATTCTTGCTGTCCCCTGGCAGGTCCCTGCTCTCTGGCACAGCCAGGAGGTGCTGCAGCATCCCCACGTCCCCCGTTTTGCAGGCAGTGAACAGGGCATCACGAAGCTGGGTCTGAGGGTCTCCTGTGAGGGAAGAGCAGGAGGGGAGTCTGGTGCCTCCCTTGGCAGAGCAGCAATATAGTCTGACTAGGTAACACACACAGCACAGTTAAAGCATCACTCTACTAGGTGGATCTGGGCACTGCAGGATCTCCAGCACCTTCCAATCCTGTGACAACATGCCATGGCATTGTTGGGTGCTGTTGGTAGCAGCTGAGCCCTCTCCTGAGATGACACCCACTCCAACTGCCACCCCCAAACAGCTGGCTTGGCCAGGTGCTCCTTGCCCCTGCTTCAGACCTGCTGCTCCAAACACACAAGTCATTCAAAGGCCTGTGGCTGCACTACAGCCATGCCATGCCTAGCTGCTCGGAGCACCTGCATGACAAAGTGGGCTTCCATCCACTGCAAAGCCACCAGCAAGTAGGGCAGATATCCACCTGGCTCAGCTCCCAAAACCACTTACCTCCAGTGCCCCAGGGGAGGGGCTCAGTCCCAGCCTCTCCCAGCTGCTCTGTCACCAGCTCCAGGCCAGGCTGCTGGGTACCATGGCATCCCGTCTCTTTGGCAGAAGGCCCTGCAAAGGGAGCATATGGTGAGGAAGAGCCAGGGACCGCCTGCACCCCAGCCATGGCCATCCTTCCCCAATGCCTTCCAACACTGCCCCCTGCCAGTTCTCCCCCCTCACCTTTCTCCACCTTCTTGTCCTTCTTCTTCCTCCTTTTGCGGTTCCGCTTGGGCATCATTTCAAACTCCCGGAGGTCCAAAGTATTCAGTGTCACTTCCACAGTCTCTAGTTCCCCTGCAGGACTGTCTTCCTCCTCTTCCTCCTCCTCCTCTGGTGCTAAAGGGGGTGATAAGACAGGGGCTGAGGCCCCACACAGAGTATAAGTCACTCCGGACTCTCAGCCAGGCACACCCTGCCCTTCTGCCCAAAGCCACACTCTCCAGATCGTGTCACAGGGCTGCAAATCTGGTCCTGTGCCCTAACATCAGACCCTGCTGCTTGCTCAGGGTCACATTTCCCTCTATGATTCAACTCACCAGTTGTGTCCTCTTGTGGAGGATCCATCTCTGCTTTCCGCCGCCTCTTCTGCCAGCCCTTCCGGGGGGACCCAGTGATATCCTCCAGTGCTGTGTCCTTCCCTGGGCAGCAAGGATGCCCCTGTCATTGCCTGAGGACAGGGAGCACCCCACAACTCCAGGGATTGAGGGCTGAGGAGCTACCAACTCCACCCCGTAAGGCAGCACCCTCAAATGCATAAGGGGCCACATCACCCCACCTGCTCTGACCCACAGGCACAGGGTCTGGTCTGACTCACCATACACCTGCAGGCTGGCCAGCATGGTGTGGACTCGCAGCACCTCTCTCAGGGTGGCCCTGCGGGTGCTGAGGGGGATGTGACAGATGCGAGGGTCGCCCTGGGTGAGGGGCGGGTTCCTGCCACCAAAGAGCAGCACACGGTTGTGACGAGGGGCCCGGAGGAAGATGCGCTGAGCTTCATTCAGGTGCTGTGCCCAGGCTGCCAGCAGGTCCTGAATATCCTGGGGAGGAAAGGGAGGCACTATGGAGTCCTGAGCACACTGTGTGGACACAGGTAGGTTCTGGAACAGGGAGCGATCCAGGAGACAGCAGCCTCAGTTGGGCCCTGAATCCCTTCCAGACCTCACACTCCACCCATGGCCTCCAGCAGTGGCGTGGTACCACCTCATGGAGCCACCACCTCAGGGAGCCACCACCTCCACATCTCCCAGCCGAGAGCCCAGTGCTGTGGTTCATCCTCACCCTGAGCAGCGCGGCCTCGTTGTAACGCCGCAGGGAGGCTCCGGCTGACCTGGGTGCTGACCCTGGGGTCTGGGCATCCCGGAGGCCCTGGGCTGTGCCCCGCCGGGCTCGCACCGTGTAGCGATGGAAGGTCTTGTGCTCCTGCACCTGGGGACTGCAGAGAGGACCAGGCATGAGCAACAGGGCTCCATGCATGGTGAGGAGGGGACTCGCAGCCCCTCTCTCAGGGTGGCCCTGCGGGTGCTGAGGGGGATGTGACAGATGCGAGGGTCGCCCTGGGTGAGGGGCGGGTTCCTGCCACCAAAGAGCAGCACACGGTTGTGACGAGGGGCCCGGAGGAAGATGCGCTGAGCTTCATTCAGGTGCTGTGCCCAGGCTGCCAGCAGGTCCTGAATATCCTGGGGAGGAAAGGGAGGCACTATGGAGTCCTGAGCACACTGTGTGGACACAGGTAGGTTCTGGAACAGGGAGCGATCCAGGAGACAGCAGCTTCAGTTGGGCCCTGAATCCCTTCCACCCCTCACACTCCACCCATGGCCTCCAGCAGTGGCGTGGTACCACCTCATGGAGCCACCACCTCAGGGAGCCACCACCTCCACATCTCCCAGCCGAGAGCCCAGTGCTGTGGTTCATCCTCACCCTGAGCAGCGCGGCCTCGTTGTAACGCCGCAGGGAGGCTCCGGCTGACCTGGGTGCTGACCCTGGGGTCTGGGCATCCCGGAGGCCCTGGGCTGTGCCCCGCCGGGCTCGCACCGTGTAGCGATGGAAGGTCTTGTGCTCCTGCACCTGGGGACTGCAGAGAGGACCAGGCATGAGCAACAGGGCTCCATGCATGGTGAGGAGGTGAGCTGATGCCCCTGGGACCCTAAAGCTTCTCTTGCAGTGCAACTGGGCTTAGCCAACTCTCAAGCAAAGACTACAGGAGCTGTGGGTGCCCAGGGTGTGGCAGGCACTGCAACGGGGCAGCAGGGAGGGGACAGCCATCAAATGCCTAGCCCCACTTGACTGTGCCTAGAGGACCAACCCCAGCTCTGTCCCCCTGTACTCACCCCCGGAACACAGCTCCTGCGAAGTGCCCACCGCCCATCATCAGCACAACCCAGCACGTGCTCACACCGAGGCTCTGCAGTGACACTGCCAGCTCTTCTGGCTCCTCACTGCCACCCTGATAAATAGACACCCTTGCTAGTACCCATGGGATCACTTCATTATCTCTTGCTGTCACTTAGAACAGGGACAAGACCTCTCTGCTGCCACCAGAAACAGCTTCCTGGGAGCACCCCAAAGCCAAAAGCCAGGCCACTAGCAAGCCTGGGACTCTAACCTGGCACAGAGACCACCCTACCCGTCATGGGAGATGTCAGACAGATGTCTATACCTGAGCTCCACCCACCTTCTCTGGGGTCCCTCCCCCAACAAGCTGGGCTGTGACTTGCCTTCCTGGTGCTCAGCACGCAGCGGTAGGCACAGATGAGCTGCCCGGTTGCATTGCGGAACAGCACCTTGTGGGAGCGGGGGATCTGGGGGGTCTGGGGGTTCCCAGGGCTGTCGCTGGCAGAGGGTAGCAACTCTGACTCACTGCCTGCATCTGAGCTCTCTGAATCAGACCCCGAGATGCTGGAAACATCACCTGCAAGGAAAAGAAAATGAAGCAGCAGAGTAAGGCAAAGATAAGCAAACAGCCTCCCCCAAACTTTGCAGGTGACCCCAAGGGCTGGCCCATGACTTCAGAAATGTCCTGTCCAATACCCTACGTATCACAAGGAGGCTGTGGAGATAGGGGTTTGGGGCTCTGGCCCCCCAGGTATGCCTAGGCAGGGGCTCAGGTAGAACACCTCTTCTCCCAGAAGAACCCACAGGGGCAGAAAAAAGAGACCCTGAACCGGCAGAGATAGCCAGGGACTTCATCCCTGCTCAGAACAGCCCCAGCAGGGCTGCTGACAGCCTCTGAGCTCTGCTGAGGAGCTCCCATTCCTCACCTGTGCGGGTTTTCTCCTCAAACACTTCTACCGGCAGCGGCCGGCGCCCCAGGAGTCGCTGCTTCAGGTTGAAGCGGTGCCAGTCGAGACGGTAGTGCTCAGTCTGTGGAGCAAGGGGGCATGAGCCAGCAGGGCCTCGCTGGGCCACAGAAACCACCCTCTCCAAAGGGCCTGAGGTGACAGACTCTGAGGGCTAAACTGATGTTGGGACCCTGCAGTGATCCTGGCTGGAAGATCACGGCACTGTGTCCAGTTCTGGGACACCCAATGTAAGAAGGACATGGAGCTGCTGTAGCGAGTCCAGAGGAGGACACAAAGATGATCAGAGGGCTGGAGACCCTCTATATTAAAGACAGGATGAGAGAGCTGGGGTTGTTCAGCCTGTAAAAGAGAAGGCACTGGGGAGACCTTATAGGCCTCCAGTACCTGAGGGGGCTACAGGAAAGCTGGGGAGGGGCTTTTTACAAGGGCATGTAGTGATAGGACAAGGAGGAATGATTTTAAGATGAAAGCGGATATATTTAGATTAGATACTAGGAAGAAACCCTTTTCTGTGAGGGTGGCGAGACACTGTAACAGGTGGCCCAGGGAAGTTGTGGATGTCCTCTCCCTGGAAACGTTCAAGGCCAGGTTGGATGGCGCTTTGAGCATCCTGGTCTAGAGGGAGATGTCCCTGCCCATGCAGGGGGTGGGAACTAGATGATCTTTAAGGTCCCAAGCCAAACCATTCTATGGTATTGTGTGCTTAGGGAGTTAGCCATACAGCAGCTACCTTGAACAGGCCCAGGCCTGTGCTTCGTGTACTGTTTACATCCAGTAAAAGACATTTTAAGCAATAATACACAGTGTCTCAAAGACAGATCCCAACAGAACATGATGAGCAGAGCTCCAGGAAGCAGCCAGCACCGGACTGCACCATGCTGGGGCTGAGGCTCCACCACAGGTCCCCACCAGCTGTGCCAGCTCCCACCTCCTGCTGGCTGCCCAGCCCCACTCCCCTGCTCCTCCCGGCTGCCAAACACCTGCCCGCAGGTGGAGCAGCACATCCGCTCCGGCACCTCGGGGGCTCCCAGGGGCTTCTCCTCGCTGCTGGTGGCCGTGGGCTTCTCTGGAAGAGGAATTAAGGGCTGTGCACAGGCAGCTCCCCAGGCTGCACTGCAAGGAGCAGGGCATTGTGGGTGTCTTCTCACCCATTCATACGAAATCGTGTAACTGTTTTGGCTGGAAAACACCTTTAACATCAAGGCCAACCATTAGCCCAGTATGTGGCCAAGTCCACCACTAAACCATGTCCCTCAGCACCGTATCTACACAGCTTTTAGATAGCTCCAGGAATGCTGACCCCACCACTGCCTTAGGAAGCCTGACAACTCTTTCAGTGAAGACATTTTTCCTAATATCCAACCTAAACCTCTCCTGGCAAAACTTGAGACCATTTCCTCTTGTTCTGTCACTTGTTACTTGGGAGAAGACACCATCCCCCACCTGGCTACAACCTCCTTTCAGGTGGGTGTAGAGAGCAAGAAGGTCTCCCCTCAGCCTCCTTTTCTCCAGGTTACACAGCCCTGGTTCCCTCAGCTGCTCCTCACAGGACTTGTGCTCCAGAGCCTTCACCAGCTTTGCTGCCCTTCTCTGGACTCAGTCAATGTCCGTCTGGTGAGGGGCCCAGAACGGAGCGCAGGATGCGAGGTGGGGTCTCCCCAGTGCCAAGGGCAGGGGGACAGTCACTGCCCTGGTCCTGCTGGCCACACTGTTGCTGATTTAAAGACTCGGAGCCCTCTGGCTGCAGAAGGAGCCCCGGGGGGCCCTCGGGGTGACACCCCGGAGAGCCCACGTACCCGCCCCGCCAGGGCGCTCCCGCGGCCAAGCGCTGGGGCAGCACCCAGGCCGCAGTGCGGGCCGAGCTCCCTCTG